GGGGTAGAACTGCGCGGGGGGGGGGGACTGAGGAGCTCCTGGAAATGTCTTAATTCTGTACTAGAAAGGAAAAGGTTTGCCGCGTCATCCCATTTCCCTCGACAGGATTCACCTCCACAAATAACTCAAACCACAAAAAGAAAATATTTTTAAAAACCTTTTTTTTTTTGTGGATGAATACCATGTGTTCATTTTAGAAAGTAGCTATAAATAACGTAAAAGTAGCTGCTACAGCTACACACATTTGCCCTGTATAATCTTGAGCATTTTCTGTGTTGCATAGCTAATGCTAGGCTAACTTCAAGCTAGGTCAAACTAGGTGTAACTAGCCTAAGTTTGACTAATGTTATGGCCTGGGGACTTAGCTATATATAACACGACTGGTGATTTGAACAATTAGTATTTTTAGTAATTTTTTTTAATTTGATTTTTAGTTTATTAACAAATATTTTTGGCAAATTGTATCCCTTTTTGTCACAACCTTCCAGGTTTACCACGATCACTTTCCTCCAGGTTTAAACTATTGATTTGTCAACATTTGTCGATTATTTGTCTATTTAAAAAAAATGTGGACTATTCCTTTTGTTGTCCGTCTTAAATGGACTCGTAGTCTGACACCAGTACCGACCTGGTGACATCACCTTGGCTCCTCTCTCTCTGGGGTGTTTAGCACCACCAACATAGACATGATAAAAACCCAGTATAAATGATGACGCGTGACTTTCCCCCAGAGCAGCGGGTGCTTTGTCAGTTCAACTATTTTTGAATTCACCTCTTAATCCTGCTCGTCAGCTCGGGGTGTGGAGTCTTCTGCTGCCACATTGTCTAAATCTGTACATGACTCCAGCCCCGTCTGTCATATTCCAAACCTGGCAAACTGCTGATTTCTCATTCAGCTCGTAAAGCTGAAACAGAGAAGTCGAGAAAAAAAAACCAGCAAAGTGTTGTATGTTAGCACGCAGCAAAACAGCAAAGTGTTGTATGTTAGCACGCAGACACAGAAGAGAAAGGAAACGTTCTCCGTTGCAGTTGCTCGGCTGAGGTGATGTCAATTCTCTTTCATGCTCCAACAAGCCCCAGGGAGCGTTGGCCGTTTATAGAAGCTGAATGACCTATATTTTTCACGTTTTTTTTTTGTTTGTTCTTCAAAGAAGACAGAAGTAACAGGTTTGGTGTCTTGAGAGCGTTTTTTCAACCGTCTGTAGCTGTGACGGACTGTTGTGTCTGTGTTTGTACGTGGTCTCCTCTTGTTTTTGGGGCTTTTCCTGGTTTGGCTGCAGCTCAGAGTCGGGCTGTGAAGAGTCTGTGTCAGTTTGAAAAGAAAAAAAAAACAACATGGCTAATGCAGTAGAGGAGAAGACCTGGGTTAGAGGGAACTTTACAGACCTGAGACCTCGGAACACTGATGGACTGATGAGGATTTAGAACAATTGGCTTTAGAAAAAAGAAATTGCCTCAAAAAGAAAGAAAAATTATTTATGTCTGTATATCTGTATATATATATCTATATAAATAAAATAAAGTTCAGCTATTGTTACAGGATTTCTTGCCCGAATAAAAGCTCTGATAATGAAAGGCCTCACAGAACATCAAAGAAATCTCCCGTTCGAGTGACTGTACCACTGTGGGGGGGGAGAAGGTTCCAAAAGAATTCTCCGGAGTTTCAAACCACCACTGAAGGCAGTGCCGACAGTCGTCATGACTGTTGAGCAGATACGACGCGGCGGTGACACTTCACACGACTGGATGTCTGATAAACTGACAGGGAGAAGCTGCAGGGACTTCAGGCAGGGCTGATGCTGCTAGCTTGTCAAAAATCACCAATATTTAAAATGTGTCTAGACTGAGGCAATCAGGTGAAGGTCTTTTCAACATGAGAGTCTGGCTCGGAGGTGTGGAAAGAAAAGGGTGGAATCTTTAACCTTTAAGAAAATATGGTAAATAGTTTTTTTTTTTTTTGGCCATGAGACTGGAGGCAGTTTGGCAAAACAACACGGCTGCAGAAACACCACCGACTTTGACACAACGGTGCTGCCGCTGTCGGTGTTTCTGAGCTGAGACCACGACAGATACGAGGCTAGTTGTTGTAGAAAAAGTTTCTAAAAATCATGCACTTGAACAGAAAGTTATCATTTTTTTATTTAAAAAAATGAAAATAATAAATGATTAATTGAATTTATTTTTCATTTTTCAAGATATTTATTTTGTTTTTTTCCAAATTTAAACTTTTTTTAATATTAAATACATTTTTTTTAAATAAATTAGTTGGGAAATAATTTTAAAAATAATTTGGTAATTAGTAATTATTCAATCACATAATTTGTGACTACTTTTTCTGATATAAATACTATTAATGTTGAATTTAAAGTTAATACCAAGCTGATGGGTAACATGTAGTTTTCCAGTTATATTTCATTTTTAATAATTAATAATTTATTTGTCTTATTAAATAAAACAAAAGTCAAAATAAATTAAAATAAATTCAACCAATCTTGTAATCTGTTCTATAATTCGAATTAATTACCCCGACAGTGTGTTCCCTTTTTTTTATCCTGTGTAAATAAACACTGTTTCCAGAACATTCTCAAACTTCCTCTTGACATATGAAATATTCAGTGTCGGTCAGACTCACAACACTCACAACAACCAAACAACAGGGAAGATTCTGGCACCAACCAGACGCTGCCTGGCTGAGAGTTTCCGGCTGCAGTCTCACATGGGCTCACTCTGACATTTCTGAAAATTTGACTCATACAACTGGCAGAAAAAGTTCCGTGAAATGCCCAGAGCGACACACGAGTTCTCACAGAATTCTGCCAAACCCTGTGGACTCTTTCAGGGAAATGTCCAGACTTCAGTTCATGCATAAAAGCAGAATTAATGTCGTCTCACACCGAGGCGGAGGAATCAGTTCCCATCAGTTCATACTGTTGTAGAGATCGGCTCCGAATGTTCGTTTGTCTGAAGACGTCTTGAAAATACAGCCAATAAACAGTTACTGCTGTGAGGAAAAAGATTCTGGTGATAATTGACAAATAAAACGTGTGAAGATTGATTTAAGGAGCGCAGATAAATAATTTATTTTTAAGTGTTTTGGCCTTCGATAAGTTTCTCGCACAAGTTTTCAAGCCAGAAAATAATAATAACATTCTTTTACTATACTAAAAAAAAAACACAAAAAAAAACCACTTTCCCTTCTGGAACGCTACAGTATTAGTCAAGTCAGAGCAGCTGAAGGACACAAAAAGTACCAACTATTTACACTGTGAAAGACTTTTTGTGACCCACGACTTTTCTTTTGAAATAATCAGAAAAGTCATTGTAAATATTATATTTTTTCATCAAAGACTTTGAGAAATACTTTGTATTTTGTAGGAATTCTGGGACATGTCTGTATCTGTGACGGTAATGTTAGCATTAGCCTCTGATCTTTTTTTTTTCTTTTATATGCCATTGCAAAGTTCTTGGCTAAATGTTTGCTATTTCTAAGTATTTTCAAGTAATAGTGACTACGTTAGCTCTATATATATATATAACAGAACATGAATATTTGTCCAAACATCGACTGCTTTCAGGCTTCATCCTAATGTTTTAAAATTCAGTAAAT